CCGCCCCTAGCCAGCCCCACCGGGCACCTCCTCCAGTGCCCCCCGCGCCGGGCGGGGTGATGTAGCGGTGCTTGCATCACTCGGGGGCTTGCGGACACATAGACCAGAGGGGATTGCACCAGCCCGAGACCCTTGAGACTACTGCACGTTTGCATGAGCCCATCCCGGCATCCCCCAGCTTGTGCACTGGCACAAGCCCACCCCGATGTCCCGAAGTTGTTGTGCGCTGGCACAAGCCCAACCTGATGTCCCCTGTGCGATTCCCGCGATGTCCCAGTGCCCCGGGGATGAGCAGTAGGTGGCAGCCGGGACATGGTGTGTACGGAGCCATGTATTAATCGGTTGTTTCCCCGCCCCCACCCGAGAGACAAAACCTTTGTGAAACGAGCTCCCAACCGTCAGAGACTGCAGGAGCACTTGTGTGTGCAGAAACGTCACCCATCTGCTTTTTAACCCAATTTCCAGCATTGCAGGCTCCATCCCTTATGCTTTTTAGAAAATAAATCATCAGCAAGTCACTACAGCAAAGGCCACGAAGGAAGTTTTAAAACTTCAGCCAAAATATCATTTAAGATTTTGTTGTTGCTTTTGCAAAATCCTGCAGGAAGTTCCCAAAGCTTTGTACCTCCCCTGAGGTGTTGGATGTTCACGTGTTAGAGGGCTTTCATACAATTACTGTTTTTAGAAATTTCAGCAAATTTTTTGCAACTCTGGGAACAAAGCCCAGGCTCTGCTGCTTAATGGGAGCCACCAAACCACTCAGAGATGTCCTTGGCTGGTTGTTCCTCCTTGCAGGAGCATCCCTGGGATCTCTGTCAGTCTCCAGCACTGCTTTTTACCAAGAACTTGATATCTTTGCAGCCTCAACTCCCGTGTTTGGAGTTGGGAGTCAGTGGGTTAAAACTGTCACAGATAGAAGGGACAGTCCACTATTCCTCCTGTCCCACTACCGTGTGTATATTCATGTTTCATTAATTAACAATGTTGAGCTGTTTGGCTCAGCTTCAGCGAAGCGTTTTAATAAAGTCAGGGGTGTAATTAGGGCTCTGGAGCCAAGTGAAGCTCAGCCTTGGTTGTCTCAGCCTTGTAGCAAATACCATGACTACCAAATGGCCCGTTCCTAAATAATCCAACTTTTTGCATGCAAAGCTCAACTCAGCCTCTAATGGGCACCAAGGCCTCTCCCAAAACTGAGAGTGGGACCAGCAATGAGGAGAAAGACTTGGGGGTGACAGTGGACGAGAAAATCACAATGAGCCAGCAGTGTGTGCTAGCAGCCCAGAAAGCCAATTGAATCCTGGGCTGCATCAAAAGGATTATGGCCAGCAGATTGAGAGAGGTAATTTTCCCCCTCTACTCTGCTCTCATGAGACTCCACCTGGAATACTGCGTGCAGTCCTGGTGTCCTCAACATAAGAAGGATATGGAACTGTTGGAGCAAGTCCAGAGGAGGCCATGAAGTTGGTAAGAGGACTGGAGCATCTCCCCTATGAAGACAGGCTGAAGAAGTTGGGGCTGTTCAGCCTGGAGAAGAGAAGACTGTGTGAAGACCTCAGAGCAACTTTTCAATATCTGAAGGGCCTATAACGGAGCCAGAGATGGACTCTTTATTAGGAACTGCAGTGATAAGATGAGGGGTAATGGGTTCAAACTGAAGGAAGGGAAGTTTAGATTAGATATTAGAAGGAAGTTTTTTAGTATCAGGGTGGTGAGACACTGGAACAGGTTGCCCCAGGAAGAGGCGACTGGCCCAAGCCTGGCAGTGTTCAAAGCCAGGCTGGATGAGGCCTTGAGCAACCTGATCTAGTGGGGAGGTGTCCCTGCCCATGGCAGGAGGTTGGGGACTAGATGATCTGTAAGGTCCATTCCAACCTCCAAAATTCTATGATTCTATGTTGAAGAACCATCTTTGCTTGCAAACCTGGTAGTGAGGAAGCAACAAGGGTCAGTGCAGGTGCAATGTGGTGTGATCCTTCTTGTCACCCACAGAAGAGGTGAGAACTTCATTGTCTAATCCCCCCTGCCCTCCATCATGATGATCAGCATTCCCAAGAAGAAGTCACTCTGAGGTATCTCAGTTGTCTTTTCTCAGTTCCTTCTCTTGCCCAAAGGCTGTGTTCCAAGTCAGGAATAAATTCCCATGCCACACGAGGTGCGTCATTACCACCCTGGAACAATGCCAAGCAGAGAAGGAGAAAGCCAAAAGGCCTTCCAGAAGATATTCCCAGTGCTAGCCAGCCTCCCCAGCTTCACTGCCAGCTCTCAGTTGTTCTGGCTGCCTCCCAGCCACTAGTTTGGCTACACTTTTCTCTGCTGGATTTCAGTGCCTAGGAGCCCCTTTTGCTTAAAAAACCCTTGAGTCTCCAACAAAGGTACATCTTACAGAAGAGAAGGCTCCAGGGAGACCTTAGAGTCCTTTCCAGTGCCTAAAGGGGCACCAAGAGAGCCAAAGACGGACTTTGGACAAGGCCCTGGAGTAACAGGACAAGGGGGAATGGCTTCTCACTGACAGAGGGCAGGGTTAGGTGGAATATAAGAATAAGGAATAAGAAATTCTTCCCTGCAAGGGTGCTGAGGCACTGGCACAAGTTGCCCAGAGAATCTCTGGCTGCCGCATCCCTGAGAGTGTTCCAGGCCAGGCTGGATGAGGTTTGGAGCAACCTGGTCTAGTGGTAGGTGTCCCTGCCCAGGGCAGGGGTTGGAACAAGAATACCTTTAAGGTCCCTTCCAACCCAAACTGTTATGTGATCCTATGATAGTAACACAAAGCACTTTAAGCAGCTTCTGAGATGTAGGGCCTAGATCCTGTAGATCTTCTCTGCAGCCACTTCTCATTGGAAGGCATCTCCAAAACCTGGGAAAGGCTTTCTAGGTCATCTCCTACCTGAGCCCAAGTCAAGAGGAGGTTTGATTAAAACTACACAGAGCTCAAATCTGTTCAGCCCCAGTATATGGATTAAAAAATCTTAGCAGACATCTCTGCTGTTTTGGGTGTATCAGCTTCTCTACATCAATCAGTGATTTATAATCATCATGCTCTTCCAGCTGGAATCGATTTGAACCATTTTAGTTCAGGAATAAGAAATAATCATAGATATTGGGTGGCATGACAGAAAGTTGCAGTGACTGCTACAGGGCTGGTTTTCAGAAATAGTAAATGAGTATCCCCAGTGGTTGTATAATCATTGCAATTGGGAAATCAGGTGCTTTACAGAGCATGCAAGAATTGCTGCTTATGTTGTGCTAATGTAGAAACTGGGGTGCAGAATGGGGAGCTATAACCATAGACATTGCTTCCTGGGCACTCACAAAGCCAGGGGGAGGAGAAAGATCCTGGGAGTTGTGCTCTGACATCCTAGATTGCTTAGCCCCTTTGAAAACAAATGCAGGTTCATTAACAAAATTGCATTCTTGATTGTGAGCAACAACTGGGGACAATTGATCCTTTGGTGCAGAGTATGATTGCTGTCCACCACATCTGTGATTCTAACCCAGAAATCTGATTAGCCATGTCATGGCCACATGGGTTGGACGTGAAAAAAATCTCTTCTACACAGAACTCAGGTAGAATCACCCCATGGGTAGTTCCATTCAAGCTGTTTATGGGGACTGGTCCTGCCCCATACACACCCAAGCCCTACTTGAACAATTCTGTGTGTTCACCCTGAGCACAGGCTGAGGTCACAACTGATCCATAGTCATCATAGAATGATAGAGTTGTTTGGGTTGAAAGGGACCTTGAAGATGGTCTTGTTCCAATCCCCTGCCACGGGCAGGGACACTTTCCA